GCCGCGGCTGGTGTTATTTGAAGGCCTTGCAGCGCCTTCACTAACTCCTCGGTGAGTGAGGTAAGCCGATTTAGTTGGTGGTGATGCATGGCGAGCTGTGTGGCCTGCGCAGATAGCTCAGTGGATAATTGCATGAGTGCTGCTGGATCGCTGTGTGGCGAAGTCTTCTGTTGCGAAGCATCAGCAGAGTCCGGATCCATTTGCAGCTTTTATTGAGTAAACAGACAAGACAGGGTCAATCACCAGTAGATACAATAGCGGAGGCTAGGCTGAGACAAAACGAGGGACAGGCAGGAGGTCGGGGCAAGCGGCAGACAATCACAGTAGAAGAACAATCCCAGTCAGGGCAGGCAGAGACTAATCAGAAAACGATAAACAGTCCAAGGTCAAACGAGTAGGCAAGAAACAGGGTAAACGCTCAGTAGTGACAGCCGGGGCAAATCAAGAGAGCTGATGTGAGTGTCCGGCTTAAATGTGTGAGTGTAATTAGATGCAGGTGTGTGTGCGTGCAATCAGTCCCAGGTATGAGGCATGATGGGAACTAGAGTCCGAATGGATAAAGTCAATATTCAGGAGAGAGTTCCTTCTGGTGGTGAGGAAGAGGCGGTACGGGAGCCTCCTCTGTAACAACTATACAGCACCTTTGTCAAATGGACCCCATTCTCCTCCTTAGATTTTAGATATGTTACTCCACTCTCATATGTTTGCTATGAAGGGGAATTTACTACAATGGCAAAAGCTGTTTTGAATCACTTTTATGCTTTTCTGATGTCAAAAATTCTCATGTGGGTGCCCTGGAATATTTCCTTATATGGGGGCAAAAAAGTGGAGAACCGCGTTATCTTCAGGAAATACACTGTATTTTAATGTTGTTTTTTTAATCCTTTCTCTAACTAAGCTTTGTATGGCAGTGGTGCTATATAGCGCCTTTAAAAAAACCTGAAGAACCGCTGAAGAACCAAATATTTTTTGTGTGTCTGTGTGTAGACTCCCCACTGCATACTATTAAATAAAACTTCAAAGTGATGAAGAAAGCTCTGAGCGTGACACCATAAATCAGATTTTAATTGATGAGCATGAATATTCAACAGATGTTAAATAAGGACAGGAACATTGTTACCAATGACAAACTTATTAAAGAATTAAATAAGGGCCTAAAAGATGTCAGACCATACGCATCGCTGCCAAAAGAACAAAAAACAAACAAGTCCACTTATATGTCCAACCAGATAAGTTTAGGTCATATTAATGATATTTATTAAGGCAGACTGCTTTATTACTACCCACGTTATTATGATCAAATGTCACTTCCAAGAAACATAAAAGAGATTAGTTCATGTTACTCATTGCAAACAGTGTGATGGGCCTGTGCTTTGTGAATTGGTGTGCACTTCAGCAAATGAAATTAAGTGTCATCAGCTCAGTCCTTCCCGTTAATAGAACCACAACAAAGAGCATTTCACCTGGACCTCTTCAGATATACGTTTGAAAGCATGCATACGCCATAAACCCTGGACAATAACAATGATTTACAGGCCTGTGTTTGGTATCAGTGCATGCGCAGGGCAGTGATTTCAGGCATCGTGTTCGTCAGAACTGCGTCAGAAGCGATGAACTCACTGGAGGGGAGGGGACTGGAGAGGCGTCGCTTGTTAGGCAGACTCATAGCGCAGCGAGTATCAGCACTGGGTGGGTGTGAGGAAACCTCTGGGAAAGGGGGAAATCTAGCTTATTCTGTTTATTTTGGAACGACAATAAACAGGCGTTAAACTTTAATCTACTACAAGCATTAAATTATTCAGTCTCGTGTCTCTAGTCTCCGCCTGAAGCGAAAGACGGCGAGCTTAACGCGCGTGAAGAATCGTGAGCGGCAGTGCGAGCTGGAAGCATCTTTTCAGGACCTTGGACAGAGCGCGCGCATACAATGGCACCAGTGACGACAGAAGAAGCACGTTTCGGTGAGTAAATTGTTGTTATTTATCATTTTCGGAGAACATATGCTATTTGTGCATGGTTAAAGAACTGTTTTTGGGAACGTGGCTCAGTAACAGTAACGCGGATTTTCCCTGATGCGCGAGGACAGGCATAAATAGGCGCGTGCTCTATTAGTAGCCTCTGACATCATTGGTGTATGAAGATGCTTAAACGCGTTGAGATGTTTGTCAGAAGCCTTCGGTGATAACGTATTCGTCACATAAGTGTGCGTGATTTGTTTTCTGAGAGAAAGACAAAAGGGACAAGAGCATCTTAGTTAATTTACTGGAGACGTGCTGCACCCACCATGAAAGAACGTGGCTCAGTAACAGTAACGCGGATTTTCCCTGATGCGCGAGGACAGGCATAAATAGGCGCGTGCTCTATTAGTAGCCTCTGACATCACTGGTGTATGAAGATGCTTAAACGCGTTGAGATGTTTGTCAGAAGCCTTCGGTGATAACGTATTAGTCACTTAAGTGTGCGTGATTTGTTTTCTGAGAGAAAGACAAAAGGCTGACAATAGCATCTTAGTTAATTTACTGGAGACGTGCTGCACCCACCATGAAAACGGACATTTCCAGATTCACAGACACTACTGCACTAACACATGGTTGTATACAGAGCAAGATAATCTAATTTCACTTACCTGGCCTATCACTTGAAGCAAACATCCATCCCTTCTTAAAAGTGTGTTAAAAGAGAGCTGCCTGTTGCGCCATTTTATTAAGCCTACTGCTGTAGCCTATATCCAGCTTAAGCTGTTTTCCCTAAATTTGTATATATACTGTCTGAATGACAGCTTGGTAAATCTGTTGGCAATCAAATATTCAATATCGCCACTCATCATAAGTACTTGGTACATTATCAGCGCAGCGGCGGACGTTCAAACTAATATCACGTAATTTACGTCTCTATGGTGATTGGTTGATATCTCTATGAGGTTTCTTTTCTCAACACTCCTCAGCGCTGGAAGTGAACACTCGATGGTGATTGGCTAATTTTTTTTTACCAACGGAGGCACGAGAGATATATACTGTTTGAATGACAGCTTGGTAAATCTGTTGGCAATCAAATATTCAATATCGCCACTCATCATAAGTACTTGGTACATTATCAGCGCAGCGGCGGACGTTCAAACTAATATCACGTAATTTACGTCTCTATGGTGATTGGTTGATATCTCTATGAGGTTTCTTTTCTCAACACTCCTCAGCGCTGGAAGTGAACACTCGATGGTGATTGGCTAATTTTTTTTATCAACGGAGGCAAGAGAGCTCATCTCTACCCCGGCCTCCCAACACTCCTCAGCGCTGGAAGTGAACACTCGATGGTGATTGGCTAATTTTTTTTACCAACGGAGGCACGAGAGCTCATCTCTCCCCCGGCCTCCCCCGGCCTCCCCCTACCCTGCTATATCACCTAGCGGTTGTAATTACATCAGCAGATTCGGCACACTCGCGATAGAAAAGCGGCGCTTTCACGTTATGGTATTACAACTGTGAAATTACAAACAAAAAATACACATTCTGAGACATGAACTGAAATGAATTGTGAATTTTATTAACATTAAATCGGCCTCCTCCCATTTTCACCTCAAAATTATGGGCTCAAAAGGAAGCTGTGCCTCCCCCGACGAGCCGCCACTGGTTGTAGCTTGTCAGGCTTTTGTAGCTAAATCGAAATGAACAGTTCTTTGTAAACGTAAATAGTAATCTCTGCCATGATTTAAGAGACTGTGGTCTCCTGAGACCTTGTTCGGTGAGGAAAAAGTGGCATTATTTTTCTTTGCATGGTTTTACATGGTTTTAACTGTTAACGTCAACACATGTCAGTGTTTGTGTTGCCTCAGATGCAAAACAATTTATATAATCTCTCTACTTTTCCTGATTGAAGGTGTTTTAATATTTCATGGCAATAGTAAGTCTACATACATCTATTAAATAAATAAATTATTGGTGTTTTTTTTTCTCAAAAAAAAATTCCACCAAAATTGGTGTTTTTTTCCTGTTTTATACATAGCGGAGGTTCCTGTGAGCATGGCAGTGGTGAGTGTGTTTGGCCTGGTCTTCAGCGTCTCCATCTTTGCATGGATTTGCTGTCAGCGCAAAGCCAACAAGGCTAGTAACAAGACCCCACCCTATAAGTTTGTCCACATGCTGAAGGGAGTTGACATCTACCCTGAGAGCCTGAATGGAAAGAAGAAGTTTGGAGGAGAAAAGACACCAGAAGCTCATGGAAAACAGACCCTCAGTCCCAGCGGTGGACGGCCAGAGCTCCATTTGGACCTGGAGAAACGAGATCTTAATGGAAACTTCACTTCCAAGCCACCAACCCTCCAACTCAAGGTGCGTAGCTCCCCAGACCTGGACATCCCGTCTCAGCAAGCAGGCTTTGGGTCAGGTGGTAACCAGGAGGTTGGTACTCCAGAAAGCGTTGTGTCCAGTCAGACACCGACACCGGCTGTGGAGAAATCTCAGGACAAAGAGGGTGGCCTGGGGACACTCTACTTTTCGGTTGAGTACAACTTTGAGAAGAAGGCTTTCATGGTTCACATCAAGGAGGCACACAGATTGTCTCCCACGGATGAACAGTCATTGACCTCTGACCCCTATATCAAGCTGACCTTGCTGCCTGAGAAGAAGCACAAGGTGAAGACACGTGTTTTGAGGAAGACTCTGGACCCAGCCTTCGACGAGACCTTCAGCTTCTATGGAATCCCATTTGCACGGGTTTCCCAGTTAGCTTTGCACTTCATGGTGCTGAGTTTCGACCGCTTTTCACGTGACGAAGTGATTGGAGAGACCCTCGTTCCTCTGGCTGACATCGACCTATCCGAGGGGCGCGTCCTCATGAGCCGAGACATTATTAAAAGGAATGTCAGGGTAAGAATAGCTTTAATTATATTTCTTTTGATGAAAATTTCACATATAAACATAAATATGCATGTCTTTAAATATAAGAACTATTTATAATAACAATGTATTATATATATAGAAAGTCAGTAGTTGGTCTTGCTTACTGCGGACAGTCAATGACACACCCAAGTCTGGATCGAGAAACAATTAATGGTGTCTGTTTGTCTGTTGGGTCAATAAATAATCTTTGCCATCCATCTTAAGGCCCACAGGTTGTAAATTTTTAATTGACCCACTAATGGACCCCACATGACTCAGTGTTTCTGCCTTTAAATACGGACTGCATGTATTTAGGCTGATAATAAATGAACTAACCTGTTAACAAAGAGTCTACACCAATTTTCTTGTCACATATAATGCACTCCTAAATGCATAAAAAGCTTTGTTGAGGACTGAAAGGCCACATGCCTTATTAAAATAATAGTAAACAGGGCAGAAGTCATAATTGTTTTGGCAACACAATTTCACTGTTGTGTGCATAAGAATTCACTCCATTTGAGCTGAAAGGAAAGCTATTATCTTTCATTGGTGACTGTGGCTGCATATAGTTAAACACACATAATTATGCCTCATCGGTTGAGAGACATTCCAAGTCATCGCTGTGGCAGCAGCAGAACCCTGCTGATGTGTTGCCAAGGCAACATGCTGCCCTGTTCACACATAATTGGAGTCATACATTGGTGTTGTGCCAAGGGAATGATTCACAGTCAGTTGCTCGTAACGTTAACGCACTTAGAAGTTGTCTTCTCAAACCTGCCTAGGGTTAGTTGCCCAAATGTGAAATCATAAAAAGAAGGTGTTTTGGACTTTGTGATGCTGATTGTGTTCAAACCTTGCAAGAACATATAAATAAATGTCTTGGTTCTTTATCTTTATCTGTAGAGGAGTGCTGGTCGAGGAGAGCTACTTCTGTCCCTGTGTTATCAGTCGACCACCAGTACTCTGACTGTGGTGGTACTGAAAGCCCGCCACCTGCCCAAGACTGACTCCAACGGACCCTCAGGTGAGGTTAAAGCACGGGTCAGATAGAAGCTGTCATTAGCTGAAGCACCATGGTTAATATATATATATATATATATATAGAGAGATATAGAGAGAGAGAGAGAGAGAGAGAGATTCCAGACATTTCAAGAACTGCACGTTTTTTGAAAAAAACAATACTTATTAAGGAAAACAAAAATAATTTAACAAAAAATAAATTACATTTTGATTGTATGTTTTTATTAAAATCATTTTAATTAAGTTAGACAGTTTTAATATATCGATAATTATATGAATATTAATTTTATTATTAATAATAATGATAATAATAATATATACATTTAAATAATATTAGGTGATCCTGCGGCCTCCTTGAAAATGTCCTCAGAACCCCTAGTGGACCCATGGTTGAGAATCACTGATCTGGAATATTTTATATACATATTATTAGTACTAGTATTATTGTAGCATCACTGAGGTACTGTTATAGTTTTTATTAATATTTTTACTTTTTTACTTTTTATTTTTATATTTTCCATTTTTTTGTGTTTTTGTCTTTTTTATTTTAGTTTTTATTAATTTTTATTTCAGTTGTAGCTCATCAAGTAAAACTAAATGAAAATGAGAAATTTTGCCTTGCCAGCTAGATTAAATAAATAAGAATTCAAATATTTTTTTATATATTTTGTTTTAGTTTACAGTTATTTAATTTCAAGTAACGTGTTGTCTTCTATGGATTTAGTCAACCATAATAACCATGATCAACACTTCTTAAGCTGTATCGTTCGTGAGCTCCCAGTGCACAATGTATCATTTCTGTGCATCGACTGAAGTATTGATTTCTGTCTCACTCTGTTTATTTCTCTTCCTGATGACTTTTTTAGACCCTTACGTGAAGGTGAACCTGTTCCAGGGGAAGAAGCGAGTGTGTAAGAAGAAGACGCACGTGAAAAAGTGTGCCCCCAATCCCGTCTTCAACGAGCTCTTCGTTTTCGACCTGCCCTCGGAAGACGGCCTGCGAGACACCAGCGTGGAGCTCCTGCTGCTGGACTCCGACAGAACGTCCCGCACACCTGTCATCGGCCGGCTCCTCCTGGGCACCTCCTCCCCCAGCACCGCCGGCGAGCACTGGCGCGAGATCTGCGACCACCCGCGCCGACAGATAGCTAAGTGGCACGCGCTGTCCGAAGACTAGCTCTGTTGGTTGCATTGCCGACAGATGCCCAGGAACTGTCATTGGAAATCCATGGTTGAGTGGGCAGGATTTGAACTGTGGACTTGTCGCGAGTAATGTCCTCTGGAAGTCAAATGATCTCAGTCATATCATTGGGGTGGGGCTTCTTCTAAAGGGGGAGGCGGCAGCTGAACCCGACCAATTAATGATTCCAAAGACTGTCTCAGATGCCCGATGCCGCTTTTTCTTCATGCTTCATTCGAAACCTGATCGATCACCACTTTGTGCAGTACCGAATGTCATGTTGCTATTGCTGTTCTTCTCTACTCACTGTTAATAATACTCCATTATGCGATAAAATTAAAGAAAATCCTGGTAATGTGATGATGTAAATTAACTGAATGATCTGTTTATTTTTTAAGAGATGCTTTTATCTTTTGTTTATTCAGATGTTAAAATTCATTTATTCTCTTCCTTTTATACTTGATTTCTCGACTTTGGTTCGTTTTTGTGTTTTCTGCCTGATGTCTTTGTAAGTTAACATGGTGCGGAAGCAGCCTAAATTAGGCACGAACTAGCAGAGACTGATGTGTTACTGCAGGACGACTGCACGAACTGAACAGGACCGCATGCAGTGCGTGTGTGAATGTGAGCGTGTGTGTCTGTGTGTGTGTATATAAATGTGTATGTGTGTGTGTTAGTTCAGTTCCAGTGGAGTGTGAGACAGAATGTTGTTCTCTTCACTGTGAGCACAACGGTGGAAGTGATGTATATGTGTATTACTATAAAAGATCCAGTTCTGAGAAAGAAATACAGTGTGTCTCCTATGTCATTTAGTTAATCTAAATTCATTCCATCTGACGGAGCAATATGCGTTTTAATGCTATTTACTGTGATGAGCAGGAAGTCTGAGTCAGTGGTTTAATGTCACACTCAAATCAATACTAGTGATTAGCATTAGAGAGAAAGATACAGATGAAGTAATGTACATATATGTAATGTCCATAAAATTTTCTCAGGAAACAATCTGACATTTAAAAAAAAGAAATTAATACTTTTATTCAGCAAGAATGCATTACATTGATCAAAAGGAGCAGTAAAGACATTTATAATGTTGCACAACATTTCTATTTCAAATAAATGCAGTTCTTTTGAACTTTCTAAACATCAAAGTATCCTGTAAAAAGTTTTATATTGATATTAAGCAGCACAACCATTGATAATAAGAAGAAATGTTTTTGTAATATTATTTATTTATTATATTATCTTGGCATCAGGAAGAACTCTATCCTCACAAAACCTGTGGGTGGATCGGATCCTCTTTCTCTTGGATTGGTGGCAAAATGAGCTAAAGCTCTATTCCTAGCCATCAACGTCAGTCCACTGAGCACAACACTGATGTGTCAGTACTCCAGGTTTTTAAAAGCATGTGTTAGTACGAACGTGAGCACCCACACTTACCATAAATACTTAATTGCCTCGTAAGCGGTTCACACACCCATGTGAGAGAGTGACCAAAAAAATCATCACTCAAAAATGACAAACATACACTCAAATAAAGATGCAAAGAGGCAGTTGTGTTTATAGAATTCAGTCAGATTTATCTACAAGATGCATTTAATGTATTGAAGATTGATCATTAAAAAGAACATTGGAAAGCAAAAGAAATGTACAGATATACACATACGCAGATGTTTGTATGCATGTGACAGTGTGACTGTGCATGCAAATCTATAAGATGACTAAGGTTCTGACGTCAGGTAATATACAATGATGCATCAGCTGGTGTCTCTCCAGTTATACATCAGAGAATAGGTCAGCATAAAGAGCACTGTGCAATGGTCAAACCAGACACACACACACACACACACACACACTCCGATCCATCAGACAGATCTGCCTTCACACCTGTCTGCACATAAAATGGAGAGAATAATATCAAAAGACAGCTCGGACTCTATCATCAGTTTCTGCACACCTGAGAAACTGATCCTCTCAGTCACTAGATCTGCTATGCTGTCTACTGCAGACATAGAAAGCTGTTATCTAAGGCAGCAACTAAATCTAAAAAAAAAAATCATCTGAATCGCTGTAAAGAGCAGATAGTTTGGAATTTGCACATTTTGCTAAGGTAACAAAGTTATGCTTTAAGCATAAAAGTACACACATACACAAGAATTAGGTAAATGATACATATAAGTTTGAATGCAACATGCAATTTAATTAAAGGGATTGAAGACAGAAAGACTGAATTGGATTGTAACTTGCCTCTAAATATTCTAAGCAACATAGGCTTCATATTTCATTAATAATTTTTTAAAAATCATTAATATAACTAATATAAAATGAGTCTGTTTAAATTTAAAGAGGTAGAAATAAAATTGAATTGAACTTTAAAGAAATTCCTAATTGCAATTGTTAATCAGTAGTGTTTGTCAAGACTTTGAACGTTAGGTTGTTTTAAAAAGCGTAAAATGCTTTAAAAGCTTTATATGTTTAAAAGTGTGAACCCTAGTGAAAAGTAAATACGCTAAAATGTATGTTTATTTCATGCCATGTATACTACAAATACATTTACATATTTGTGACGCTGGACCACAAAACCAGTCATATGTCATATTTTTCTGAAAGCTGAATAAATAAGCTTTCCATTGATGTCTGGTTTGTTATGATAGGACAAAATTTGGCCGAGATACAACTATTTGAAAATCTGGAATCTGAGGGTGCAAAAAAATCTAAATACTGAGAAAATCACCTTTAAAGTTGTCCAAATGAAGTTCTTAGCAATGCATATTACTAATAAAAAATTTAGTTTTGATATATTTACAGTAGGAAATTTACAAAATATCTTCATGGAACGTGATCTTTACTTAATATCCTAATGATTTTTGGCATAAAAGAAAAATCAATAATTTTGACCCATACAATGTATTTTTGGCTATTGCTACAAATATACCCCAGCGACTTAAGACTGGATTTGTGATGCAGGGTCACATTCATGTACTTAATAAAATTACCCTGCAATTGTACTTTTAGTATACTAAACTGGTATAACTGAAGTCTGCTAAATTGGAACAACTAATTTTGTGGTTAAAGCAATTTAATTTTACAGAAGTAGTGCTGAGGTCCAAACTAAAGATATACTTAAGTATATTTGATTGTGCTAAAGTGGAACTATTGCAAGTGTACTTCAGGTATACTTTAAATATCTTGCATTTAAAGACCGATATTATTCAAAGATCATACAATCCTCACCAATAATGACACTAAAAAATGTGCATTGTACAATATACAAATACTCCAAATAAATTTGACTTATACTTTGAATTTTTATATCAGTAAGTCTTGAGCGATATGTCAGTAAATATGTTAATAGATTTTTACTATACTTAGTTTGAAATAAATATATTTTAAATAATTGTATAATAACAGGATACAGATTTGTAATGATTAATCCATTAAATGCTATCTATGTGGGCAACTCAGTAGGTTTTGGAACAAAGCTAGTATCTGAAAAAACCAGCCACGTCCACATTAGAGAGCACCTCCTGCAGTCAGACACACATCCCCACCCTGTCCAGTCCAGCTCTGCGGGTGCTGCAAGATCAAGCTCTGAATCAGCTCAGACTCTGTGTCTGTGTGTGCATGTTTTGTGTGTGTGTGTGTGTGTGTGTGTGTGTGTGTGTGTTTGCACGCTGGGATCTTTTATAGTTCTCAGATTTAATGGCCATGCATTTTAAATGCGTCAGTATATCATGAAATGACAAATGAAGGATTGCTGTCTCCTTACTGAGAAACAGAGCGAGTGAATGAGGCTAGGAGGTTATTGTCTAAACTGCTACATCTTTGGCAATACAAAATGCTGTCATTTGTCTTGCCAATAAAGCTTAAATGAAACTGGGAAGTGCAGAACTTAAAAGTGAGAGGGAACATGGAAGAAATAGATGAAAGGATACAAAGTGCAAGTAGAATAGGATGGTTTTCTGACTGGAGAACAGTTGGAACTGAAATGGTCATAAACCGATAGAAAGAAGAAAGGTGGAAATGAAAGAGAGGGAGCGAGATAAAGGCAAAGGGAAAGGATTAGAAAGAGATAAAGGAAATGAGAGAACACTGAGTCTGTGCGTTTGATGGAGGATGCCGATGAAATATTAGGGTGATGTGAGATGTACGAGAGAGATGAGGCATGTGAGGTCGGCTCTCTGACTTCTTGGCATTCAGAGCAGCCAATGACTGTCTCGACAAAGAAATCAATTATTAAATGGATGAAAATAAGATTAAACCACAAAAGAAATGGACCACTGTGATATGGGCCTAAGGCCACACACACACACACAGCAGTGCCTTGAGCTATCGAATAAAACTCACTGATGACACATTTGTGCGTGCTGGTCGTGTTGCATCTGTGCGCAAAATCTACAAGTTTTGTATGTTCTATTTTTGTCTCGTCAAGCTTGACACCCAAACACCTCCACACACAACACAGAGACTCTCATTCACAGGCACAAGCTCAGGAGATTCATTTGAGTAGGACCTAAAATGCTAATTAAGGCACTGCGTCGTCCATTCAGATCTATTATTACCTAAAATGAAAAAGGAAAACTGCTCTCAGATCAGCAGAAATGTAACAGTGTGAGAGATCACCTGGTCTGAACCAGAGAGCAGAGAGAGACATAAGAGCTGGGGGTTGGTTTAGTGAGAGATGCAGAGGTGTATTTGTATCAGCTTTATTATACAGAGCTGGGTAGTAACTGATTATATGTATTCTGGATTACGTAATCAGATTCCATTTATTTAGTACTTGTAATTAGATAATATTACATTTTAAAATGCTTGTAATCAGATTACAGTTACTTTTGATGGATTACATGATGAAATTATTTACACAATGGTAAATGATTCATAATTTATTGATTCTCCCAAATTCCTTTTTCTCTTTTAAATTTTCCTTTCTAAAAAATTCTACTGTGTGTCATATTGAATACAGAGAATATTCACAATATAGGATGGCCATGTAAATGTTATGTAAATTAATTTACAATCCATGCTTCTGAATTTGGGGACAAAAGCACCTCTCAGTCAATTATACCATGTATGAGACTAATAAAATATTTCTAATTTGGGTGTTCAAGTGTTTTATTTTTGATTCTAATTTTACAGTTTTATGATTGAATAATTATTAGCTTTTCAACAGCTCATAAACACCCTGATGTACTTTAATTTACCCCAGTTTGGAGTAAATGACGAAATTTCCTGCCAAATCAAACTTGAAAAAAATTGCTACCAGCTCAATCAAAAACAGATTTTTCATGTACTGGCTAAACAATTCATTTGTTAAAAATGTAAAAAACAAACAAGAAATCCTCTATAGTGTACAAGTAAGCATTTTCTGTAACACTTTACGCCGCATGCATAATTATTAGGCATGTTGATATTCTGATATTTTTTTTCCAAGCACATTTTACCAATTCCAAACCATATCAATCTTAATAACTACTATTAATTTTGTATTTAATCATTTATAAGTGATATATAATTGTCCGTGAAGGCTGGAAGTGAAAAATTCCTTATATTCAGGTGTGTATAATTATTAGGTATGTTTTCTTTTACTGATAAAATGAGCCAAAAAAGAGGTTTAACTCAGACTGAGAAGTCAAAAATTATTAAATCCCCATGAGAAATATTCAAAACTAATGAAATACAGAAATTGCAAAGTTAAGACATGACCACTGTACAGCAAAATGCCCACTGGATCAGCGGGGTCAGAAAAAAACAGGCGGAGAAGAAAAGACACGTTA